TTTTTTTTTTCCCCCCCCCCCCCCCCCCCCCGCCCCCAAAAGTGCTATAAGCACTAGTTAAGTATCCAAATACAGATATGTTAGAATTTTCTTGAACTACTGGTTACTTTTGACAGCTAAGATTGTGGTATCTTTGGTGTCTTCTTGATTTTTCTGTATCTTGATAGTTCGGGGGGACTTTTTACTGATACTTTTTCCCTCATAATTGTTTCTGTCAGTTGTCAGTACGGTTTAATAGCTTGCAGCCAGAAAGCGTGTTACTTGAAACTTGGTGGTAGCAGTTCTTGACATGAAGATCCTTTCTGTTTCTTGTGAAATTTTCTCTTTATCTTTTCTTTATAGACAAAGGAAAGTATTTAGGGTTTGTAAATTGTTAAGAGAAGAAAATATATAAAAAATTTTAAGAAGGAAAGGGTGGGGGGGGGGGGGGTCGGTTGAGAGAAACATAAAGCATGGACTAAGCTTTCCTCAGGTTTTGTTGGTTGGCTGGTTTGGGGTTTTGGTTTGGGTTTTTTGTGGGGGTTTTTTTTCACCTCAAATGAGAATTACCACCACCAGTTGCTTGCCTTTTTGTGACTGTTGATTCTTACTCTTGAAACCGACCATTAGTCTTACAAGGGCAAGAAGTGAGTGATGGTACTTAGGAGGCCAGCCAACTTTTTCATTATTACCGTGTATATTAAATACCTGAAGAAAGAACCAAATGCGCCAAAATACAGTACTACTATGAGTAAATTCCTTCTGCAGTTTTAAACAATAACCTACAATTTAAGTAGCTTCACATCAAAATTCTTTTAAATACTCACTTGTTCATGCCCCGTGCCAAGAATATATTCTTCCTGCACCCTGCTTCCTTATAGAGTGCTTAGGCGCTGTGTGTTCTGCCCGTATCAGATGCTAAATAATGAACTATATGCTTCTATTCTTTGCCTTTATTTCATTTTTCAGTGCACACATTACCATAGAACATGGCTGTCTTCCCGCTCCAGCCAAAACACACACCATTTCACCTTTCATTTGCTTCTCCCTGTTGGTAAAAAGTAGCGTAGAATTAGATATCTGTATTACCCAAACCACCATCGGAATTGACAAATTAACATTTTGTAAAAGCACACAAATAGATTAACCTCTGACAAGCACGTTTCTAGGTGTGCTTCTCATGTGCAGCTAGAAGGGTAAAGCAAAATCAAGTCACTTACAAAGACATCATTCATTTTTGTGTAAGAATAAATAATAAACCGCAAATTTACTGTCAAGCTTCTGAAAGTAGATCTATATGCCATTTATATTTTGAGCAGTAAATAAGTCTGGCTGAAATTCATCCAATGACCCTAAGAACCTCTTTAGTTTGTTGTTACCCAAATAAATATGAATTGCACTAGCCATGACATTCTTTTGGTTTCACTATTATATCTCTGAGTACAAAAAAACTTCCCTTACAAAGAGAAACTAAGAATTAGGCCTACGTAATTCCTACTGAATGAAGGAATTCTACTGTTTTATGGTGGGGTTTTGTTTGGGGTTTTTTTTGTTTTAAAGCAATTTAATTTGTGCTCCTGTATTTTGTAAAAGACCTTCAATTAAATTTACTGGATCAGTTTGACAGTACAACTTTCTATGCTGAATACATTCCCTAATTATCCAGAGAATTTTGAGAAAATGATTAAACTGCTGTACTTAATTGTTTGCTATTGGGCTTTTCTTCACAGAGAATCTTGGCTATTTGCCATGCTCAGTTTCACATCCATTTGATGTCTCCAAAGTTTTCTGAGAATTCTAAGGATTATGTGGATTTTTTTAAGTGGAGCTTTCAAAAAATTAATATATGGGGTGTATTTTAGAGGAGAGCTATTCCATAATGAAAATAGGAGCAGAAAGAAGGAATGTTTACTGTGTTGCTTTGTATATTGACAATTATTTTCTTAGATTATTACTTCTGGAAAACTTGAAAATGTTTG